GTGGCTTTTGTGGTGATTTTTTATTAGTGAAACGTTACATTATCAAAAAGTACTTTAAAGTGTATAAATAAGTTACCTGGGCAATTGATTTACATTAGCCAATCAAACGAATGTCTGACCATGACCCTTACCCTAACTTTAATTAAAAACAAAAACCACGTGACTGGCTTTAGACGTCCCCCTTATTTGGAAATGATCAGCAGTCAGATGATTCTAGAATCGTATTTGAATTTTAACTGAATTAAACCAAAATATGATAAAAATAAGTTAATTTAAAAAAAATAAAAATAAAAATAAAAATAAATAAAAAGACATTAAAAAATTGCACTATTGTGTTTAACACCAGTATGCTATGTAATATAAAAGTTCAAAATAAAAAAAAATAAAAAATATACATAAAAAATAAAATAAAAAAAAGAAAATTTCTTAGTGTACACTAGTATATTATACATGTATATTAATTTGCAAATCTGTGTAATGTGTAAATCAAAACAGTTTGAATAAACGAAAAGATAAGCACTATCTAAGGTTAGGGTAAGAGTGGGTTTGGAACAGGGCAGGGTAAATAGCTTATACCAAAATTTTGCAAGAAATTATTTTAATTAATATTAAAAAGATGATTTTATAAGCGAAATTTTGAGTTATAACCGATTTTTTAAAGAATGCAATAATTTGACATTACACCTGATCATGTAACCTGATTTGCTTTCTATATACACATGTTTTATACACTAATATACAAATAGAAATTGTCTAAAAAAAAAATACACAAATATTTTATAATTTTTTATTTATTATTGTTATATTTTACTATGGTATTAATAATTCCAAACCAAATTACCATACTATAAATCCTAAATCTAACTATTATACTACTAATCTAAATATGTATCATACTATAAATTCTAAATATAATTACTATACTACTAATTTACTACCGTCTACCTGTCCTAAATCCAACTCTACTGTACTACCTATCCTGAATCTAACTCTACTATACTATCTGTTCCAAATTCAACTCTACTATACTAACTGTTCCAAATCTAACTTTACTGTACTATGTTTAAAAATCTAATTTTACTGTGCTATGCCCAAAAATCTAATTCTACTATGCTATTTGTCCTGAATTCAACTCTACCATATTATATCAAAAAATCTAATTCTACTATACTACATCCAAAAAATCCAACTCTACTATGCTATGTCTAAAAAATCTAACTCTATTGTGCTATGTTCAAAAAATCTTATTCTATAGTGCTATGTTCAAAAAAATCTAACTCTACAGTGCTATGTCCAAAAAATTTAACTCTACTATGCTATATTTAAAAAATTTAACTACTGTGTTATATCCAAAAAATCTAACTACTGTGCTACATCTAAAAATCTAACTCTACTATGCTTTATTTGTCCTGAATCTAACTTTACTATACTACAAGTCCCAAATCTAACTTTACTGCACTATGTCTAAAAAAATTTTAACTCTATTGTACTAGTCAAAGAAACCTACTATACAAAAGAGAGAAAAGCTTTAGTTCTAATAAAAAAAGTTTAATAAAACAAAAAAAATATACCAATAAATAGTAATTTTATAAACAACATCCTAACAGTAATGACAAAGCTTACAAGTTCGCTTGTTCCAACTAGTGTCAAAAAATCCTAATCTTAAGGTCTCATTTACCTTTTTTAGCTCAAATTATAATCAGTGATTAATTGAGATAATCAAAAGTAAAGGTTGTACATTATCATTTCAAATATTGTTTAGTAACAAGTGTAAGTAAAAATCTTGTAAAACTTTTGAGAGAAAATGATATAAAAAAACGTGATAGGGCTAATCAAATTTCGTTGAATTTTGTAGATCATTCTAGATCTTCGATCTCAAATGATCTTCAATTTGGAATATGCTCAGACTAATATATTATAAAAAGTATAAGAAAAAGATATGAATCAGTCAGTTGAGATGTCACGCAGATTATTTGTATAAAATTTTTAATAATAAGTCAAATGATTAATGCACCCAAATTTTATAAGTAAAATTTTGCTTAAATTTACTTTATAAAGGTAAGTGGAGTATTATGACGCAAGTGGATATTATGATGCACTTGTGTTTTTTGATGATATACTGTGATACACTGATTAGAATTAAGATATTCTAGTACTATTCGATTTGTCTTACTAAGACAAATCAAATGGTATTAAATTTATTTTATTTGAATTACAAGAATATGAGATACAATCAAAAAACTATAAATTTATTAATATTTTGGGTTCTGTCACCAACAAATTTGATCTGATACAGACCCAATATGATTAATTTAGTTAGTACAAATATTAAATAATATCAAAATTTCTTGATGAAAGTCTAATATCGAGAAGATAAAGATTAATTCTATACAAATTAGACACCTTGTTTCCATGTGAATTATAACAATCTTGATAAAAATTTTGAAAACTAGTATTATATTCTTCAATTTTAAGAAACAGCTTAACAAATTTACACATTTCCAATTTCTTCATAGTAAAACGATACTTATTTGCTTCATCAAAGCCACCATCACCCACGGCTTCACTGAATCTTCTGTCTATAGATAGCATATAATTTATCTTTGATAGATATTTAAAAGACAAAATAATTTTATCAAAATAAATGATAAAATCTTTGATTCTATTATATCTGCTAATATAAGCGCAATGATCATCGAGTGACTCTATGACTGCATCCGTGACTAAGAGCCTTAAAAAATATTGTATAGTATCCTTAAACCATTCATAAAGAAACGGAAGAACATAGTTCATCCGCTCTTTAAATTTGGCTATATTATAAGTACTTTGCATTAAATCGTTGTAAAGTTTTAAAATTGAATCGTTTTTATCTTCACTTTGTAAATCGAAATGGTATGACATATTTTTATGAATTTTTTAGTATTGAAAGAAGTTTTTAATAAAAGGTTATTCAATTTATCAAAGAAACATATTATCGTTCGTTTGTTCAAATTACAAATTTGGCTAACAATTGATACAATTTGCTAACTTTACAAGTTTAGATTTAATTTTAATTTCGCGATTCTATCTAACCTTGTTAGTATTTAGACAAAATTACAAATACACAAAAGAAAACAATTATGATCGTAATTGTAAAAAAAACTTATAATCGCATACAAGAAGACAATCACAATCACGGCAATTGTTTTCATATATACTGCTAATTTTTTGTCTGTAATCATAATCACGATCAAAATTGTAACCAAAATTAATTGGAGACAATCACAACCACAATGATTGATTTTATATACACAATGAATTTTTTGTCTGTGATCACGATTACAATTGCATATTAGAAAATAATTGTAATTGTTTTTTTATATAATCGCAATCATGATCATGATCATAATCGTGATTGCGATTGTATAAGAAGACAATCACGATCATAATCATGCTTGCATAAAAAAAAAAGTATAAAAATCGCTGTGAAAAATAAAAAATTAATAAAAAAAAAATGTCAAAACATAACGTAAACTCCAATTCTTGAGCTATACATATAAAAGCAATTGAGTTAGCTCTTAAAGCACTTGCTAGTCTCAAGCCACCTAGTATATGAGCAGCTGCATTAAGTTTTGGCATTTCAGAAGCCACCCTAAGACGTGCAATAAAGACAAATCGTTTACCTAATCGCCTAATCCTGTGACGATCTTAAGTAACTATGAAGAAGTCCAATTAGTAGACTATTGTAAAAATATACAAAGACTAGGGTTTGGTCTTACAAAGTCAGAAGTAAACCACTGTATAATGAATATAGTAAAGGGTAATGGCCGTAATCATCCTTTTAAAGATGATGATCCTAGAAGAGCTTGGTAGACACGTTTTATAATAGACCATCCTGATCTATCTTTTCGAATGCCTCAAGCCATATCAGAGGCACAAGTTCAAAGAGCTAACCCAAAAATTATTAAAGATCACTTTGACAAATTAAATAAAATAATCCAAGATAATTCACTTACCTCAGACTATATTTGGAATATAGACAAGACTGGCTTCATTATAGTTCCTCAGGTTCAAAAAGTTCTTGCAAAAAAAGGCACCCATCAAGATCATAAGGTTGCACATAGTAATTCGCATGATCATATTTCTGTTGTGCCAACCATTTCGGCCATTGGTTACTATATCCCTCCATTAATTATATATAAAGATGTTCATGCAATTCCTGGTTTGTTAAATAGTGCATCGTCAGGTACAGTTATGGGTTTTACTGACTCTGGATATATGTGCAAAGACCTTTTCCAAATATTTATTAAGCATTTTATAAGTTCTATACCTTCTTGTCATCCTGTTCTTTTGATGCTTGATGGTCATAGCAGCTATATGAATTATATAAACGTTAAATTTTGTTATAAAAATAGGATTTTGTTATATGCACTTCCTCCTATACGACACACGTACTTCAACTATCCGAACTTCCTTTCGCTAAACTTAAGACCAAATATAGTAAAAATTGTAATCAACTTCACCATATAACTGGCGAATTGGTATCTAAGTATATGTTTGCCAAAATGCTTGGTCCTGCATTTATTAAAATTTATATCCCTATAACAATAGCTAATGCTTTCAGAGCTACAAGAATTTGGCCCTTTAATCCTAACGCTATTTGTCTGCATCATTTTGATCTCTCTTTATCTACTGAACAAATTGATATTTTACCTTCTATATCATCTTCCACACCATCTTCTTCCACATTGTCTTCTTCCACACCGTCTTCTTCCACACCATCTTCTTCCACACAGTCTTCTTCCACAATGTCTTCTTCCACAATGTCTTCTTCCACAATGTCTTCTTTCACAACGTCTTCTTCTACATCATCTTCTTCTGTACCATCTCTTCTATAATATCTTCATCCTCACCATCTTCTTCTACATCATCTTCCACACCATCTTCTATATCGTCTTCTTCTACACCGTCTTTTTTCATACTGTCTTCTTTTGCACTATCTTTTTCTACACCATTTTTAAGTCATTTTATGCAATCTAGTATAACCGAGAAGAATGAACTATTAGAAGTAGAAATCCATGCTCTAAGGAGAGAAAATATGCTACTAAAAGAGGAACTTGAAACATTTAAAAATTCTGGTACCTGCTCATTAAAGCTAGCTCTCAAGTATCCTACTTCCAGAGTTCTAACACAAGGCAATGAGGAGTCCAATCAGTCAAAAAAACAAAAAAATTTGCTATTTGCTTGACTTCTAACAAATGAAGAATCTCTAAATGCTCTAAAAGAAAAGAATAAGTTAGAAAAAAGTAAAGCAGAAAAAACAAAGAAAAGAAAAGAGGAAGCAGCCCAGAAATGAGCTGACTGGAAAGCTTAAAAAGAAAGAAAAAAAGTTAAAAAAAAAAGAAAAAAGGCTGAAAACGAGCAAAAAAAAGCTGAAAATGAGCAAAAAAAGAAAAATGGTTACGTAAAAAAAAAAAAATTAATCATGTGTAATTCTGCTGTGTTATACTTAACTGTATATTCTGTAATACTGTAATACATAATTTTTGACATTAATTCGACCTATCCGATATGCGTTATAATACCCCCACAAATTGATAAAACATAGCATTTTTTGAGTAGTTTTTTAAAGGTCATATTTTATCCTTTTTTTTAAAAAAATCAATTTTTTTTCTTATTATTAGATGGCTAATTCGATGAGTAATCTATTTCAATAAATCTCAAGAATAAATTTTTTTTTTCTGAAAATTTTTATATGAGCAATCCTTAGGTGCGTCATAATACCCTCCCCTCCCTTATGCTTATTTGATAATAAAGATATCATTTCACAAATTCTCTAGCATTTGAAGGTTCTTTCTGTGAAATTTTAAGAGTGATTAAAAATAAAACCCAAAAGAATCATGATTATGAAGTTGGGCAATTTTTTGACAATTTTTACAATTTGTTTATAAGTTATTTATATTGTTTATTTCAAAATACTCAAAATAGTTAATGATAAACAGTCAATTAAATTTATGTAATTGACTGTTTATTATTACTTTTTTTAGGTATTTTTGGATAAACAACATATATCACTTATGAACAAATAGTAAAAATCATCAAAAAATTGCCCAACTTCGTAATTATAATTTTTTTGGTTTTATTTTTAACCACCCTTGAAATTTCACAGAAAGAACCTTCAAATACTAAAGAATTTATGAAATGATGCCTAGAAATTACACTGACAACTTTTTATTTCAAATAAGCCTAGAAAGCAAATTTAAGCAAAATTTTACTTATAAAATTTGGGTGTATCAATCATTTAACCAACTATTATAAAATGATCTGCATGATATCTCAACTGACTGATATTATGACAAGCTTAAAAATCTTACAATCATATATGATTTATTGATTAAAATCGATCGATTTTATATCATTTGATTCACTTCATTGATCAAAATTATATGATACAAAAATCTTTTGATTCTGATTACTAATTCCCAAAATATTTCAATTTAAAGTCTGTCTCATTAAAATTTTTTATATTGGGAGTATTATGATGAATAGGATTATTTCGCAATCTTGAGATCACAATCGATCCTCTCTTCGAGAGAAGGTCATGAGATATTTCAATTCATCAAAATACCTTTTTACAACATATAGTTTTCTATATACAGTTGTTTCTTTCTAAGTTTATGTTATCTTGCACTAAAATTTTGTAAGGATTTTTTTTTTGGCAAGACACGAAGAGTAGTTTTATATAAACAAAATTTTATATTAAATAGTGATTTTTGAAAAATTGTATTTTTTTTTTTTTTTTTTTGCAATTTAATTTGATCGATAGACTAAGAATAGTGTAGTCTACTTTGAGAAGGTGTCAATCAAGATTCCTTATGCATCAGATTGATAATGAATATAATAGATATAATAGCTAAACCTATTTGTATATTCATGCCAAATTAAATAACTATTCGAGTATTTGTGTATTTTATATGTGTGCTTGTTATACAAAGTCATCAAAAAAATCTAGCATTAAATAAAAAAGAAATACTATACTGTGTTCTTTTACTTTTCTCTATCAATTAAGTACCTGAAATTGAATCATATCTTAATGGTAACATGTCTATAAAAGAAGCTTTACTAAAGCAGATATTGGTGAAAACATTGTATAAGCATAAAAATATCTGTAATTTTAACAAATATCATTACAAAATTTGGTGTTAGTGTGAAATAAATGAAACAAGGATTCATTAGATTACTAGTACAATATTATTTTTGTTTCAACTACAAATGAGTAATATCAAAAAAAATACAGACTTGAGCTGATTCAGTTTTACAATAAATGAGTCTAGTAAATTAATAAAAAAATCTAAAGTGTTTGATTTTTACCATTGCAATGCATTTATAAACAACCCAAAAAATTGCTACTAATATAGCATACTAATTTTTGACTGTGCTAATCAATATTCTCAGTGTTATTATAGATCGTATTAAATTTTTAGCACAAGGTTGCTACAAACAAGTATCAGAATTTTTCAGTTCTTCTGTATCTTCACAATATATTTTAGCGGTCTTCATGGCACCCAATTGATGAGCTTATGATCTTCCAGAAACAAAAATGGACTCTGGTGACCATTCAACTGGTTCAAAATCATCCAATACTACTGAGGATGTAATTTGAACACTCATATTATTACTATGAACAAATAATTGTATGCATGCAAATACATAGAGATGTTAAATTAGTCTAATTCATATCATAGGATTAGAGATTAATGATCTGAAATGTAATTATCCAAAATGTGACAATCTGATCTAAAACATAATGATCTAAGTCATAACTGGCAATTTACTCGATACTATTTTAAGTTAATAATGTTTTGTAATTTCAATAGTGAATGGGCTCATGATTTACTAACAAATAGTTTATAAATTCAATTGTGATTTATGCTTTCAACAATTGATAAGTTGACGATTTTAATAATAGGTTTGTGTTTTAACAATGAATTAAGATTTATTAATAGGTGGCTTATAATTTAGTAATAGATAGATAGTGATTTCAATAGCTTGTGTTTTCATTTTAGTAATAAGGTTCTAAATCAATAATGGTGTGAATGAGCAGGAGAATTTAACAGTTAATTTATGATTTTAGTAATAGGTGTTACAAAATTTTTTATAAAAATTTTTCATAATATCTTATATTAGTAATAGTGGCTATTATATAATTAAAAATAAACTAATATTGATACCATCCAATGATGCTTTGAAAATAAGATCTAATACTATTATGATGACAATTTTAAAACAAAGACAATCAATTTATATAAATAAAATTATCTTTTTATATTTTTTTTCTTTTAGGTTGGTCATTTTTTTTTTGATTATTTTTTTTTTTTTGAATGTTAATGGTAAGACCATGTCTCTATCTTTATTGAAATTTAATTTGATTCTCTTACAATGAAAAGAATATATTTAAACTCCATATTCTAAGATAACAAGAAAAAAAACTCAAACTAGTTTATCTGCGGTCTAAACCAAATTATTTTTATTTTTATTATATTTAGTATCTAATTCTATATAATTCTTTTTTTCAAATAATGAATTAGGTTTGTCATCAGCAACAGTTAAAGAAGATATTGTTTTAGATGAATTAGAAGTTATGATATTATTATGCTCAATAAAAAATTCTTTGAACAATTAATTAGTAATAGAATCAATGTCATCTGCTATAATATCAATAATTAAATAAGTGTTTGACGATGTATTAGAAAAATTTTTATAAATGTTAAAATTTAAAGGTAATGGTCTTGAATAATTAATATTAGTAATTTTGATTATCATCTTGTCAGAATTTGAAAACTTAAAAAAATCTGATATAAGTTAGGTATTTTCTACTTTAATATTAGATTTTAAAAACTTCAAATATTTAAATTTTATAGATTTGAAAGGATAAAAAACAGTCATTTCCTTTTTAATATTAGTGGATTCAGTAATATAATTTTATTTATTTTTTTTTATATTTTTTTTAACTAGCCTCTTTGGCATAAGAGTTTTTATTCAAGTATATTAAGAGTGGAAGGCTTACAGTGGAACCCTGAATTACATTAGAGAGTACAACTAGCCACATGTGTGCCTTTTAGCGGCTATTTAAGTAGTTCGCATATAGATAACTATACATTATAAGTTCTATACTAGCTGCCATACTTATAACCGACTAGAAATTATCTATTTAAACTCTCTGTAATGCAACCAGACCCTTACTTGTTGTTACCGAGACATCTTCGCTACATTTGTCAATCAAGAAGTACAGGATGCTTGCTATAGCCTTAGGGCTAATTTATTCTCAAGGCATCATTGCTAGAGCTTTCTATATCCACAATCTGGCTAACCTAGTCTTCAGTAACTTATGCCAAGTCTGAGAATGAGTACTTGCAAGCCAAAGCTGCTACTGTTACTTACTTCTGCCCTTGTAGAGTTCACCCAAACCCCAGCATCTACTTTACAGACTCTCCACTGTTTTTTCAGTTCCCAAACTTCCAATTCAGATAGTCCAAAAGGGCAGACCCCTTTCCCAAAATATACCAGTGGCCTGGTTGGTATGGTGCCTTGCCGAACACCTCGGTCTCATCTGGTTTCTGGTTCTTTGGTTGATAATCCTTTACATAGCACTGTTGAAAGTCTGCGCTATCTTTCTACTTGAGACTTGCCAAGTGGGATTCCATATGCCTTAGCCTTTGGATTTACACAAAGTTTCACTCAGTTTCATATAACTTATACATCATACTATAGTTTTACATTCTTCTAGTACAAGCTGATACAACCAAAGCTACAGATCTGATAATCTATTAGATTACACACAGTCTGCTATAACACATTCTGTAAAATTCGAATTTTATTGCTAGTGAGATTTGAACTCTTGTTCTGCCACTTAGGAGTGCGACAACTTACCAACTTCACTAAGTCATCATACCCTTCTAGTAATAGAATTATATTCTATACATTCAATACTAAAATGAATAAACTTTTCAATTTTTTTTAGGTTATAATTAACAAGAATAAAAATATATAATGTGAAATACAAATTGGAACTTCGATAAATTTAAATTTGTAATTAGAATCTTCATGATTAAAATGATCACATATACAATAGTCATGCATTGTTTAAACTTTTTAATGACAAATTTATTTAAAATTAACATCAAGCCACCAGTAGTAAACAATCAAGATGGTCTATTTGTAGAAAAAAGTTATTTTCAGCTAATAGTATAAGATGTTTGTATTTTGCAAGACTATATGAGTATAGGCTATTATTTTTTATAGTAATAATAATAATGGGCAAGGCAAAATAAGATAATATTTTTTTTATTAAGAAATATTTTTTTTACATATTTATTACAATTAATTACAATCAAGATAATAATTTTATCATACTTTATTTTACAATTAATTACAATCAAAAAAATAATTTTATTATACTTTATTTTATAAAAAAATACCACAAAGATAAAAATAAAATAATTTTAAAAAAACTCTTTCTGCTAATTTGCAATTTTTAATCGGTCAAAACCAAAAATGCTAATTATTTTTGAAACTAGTATAAGAAACAAGGTATCTTATACTAAGTAAAAAGAAAAAGCATTTAAAATAATTTGTAGTTTATTAGAATAGTTTTTTTATTCAAAACCTTAAGTCTAGCAACAAATCTTTTTAGAAATTTTTAGAAAATTTTTGAAAATTTTAGGAAATTTGTCTAAACCCTGAAAATTTGATTTTAAAGACATGTAAATAACAACAAAACAATAAACATGTAAAATTGAATAAACAAACAAATAAATAAACAGCAGATTACAATACTAATTTTAGAAAAAACAGAAAAACAACAAGTAAACAAACAACACATACTACTATTAACCAAGAGCTAAAAGATTTTTCTAGAAAATTGCACTAGAATTTAATACAACAAATATAAATTCTAGATCAAATTGTAAAGATATTCATATAAGAATTCTGTTATACTAAATTATATGAAGTCTAAAGAAAATTAAGGGTATATTTTCTAAACCAGTAGAAAAAAGACAATAAATATGTGAATTATAAATGAGATTTACTATTTAAACAATAGATGTATAGCAAATTATTTGGGAGTAGAGAATCCAGAATATATATTATTTATTCATATAGTATTAAAAAACTACAAAACAGTATTCCAAAAGTTTTCAAAAAGCAACAAATTAAACTCAGAAAATCAAGAATTAATAGGAATAGATCTAAAAACTAACATAATTGAGTTTAAAAATTTAATTACAAAAAGATTACAAGAAAAAGAAACCAAGAATGCAACAATTATTGTCAAGACTGTAAAAGAGATCTTACTCTTTGTAAAAGTGAAAATGGTGATTGAAGAACTTATCACACAATTAGTTCTTAATGAGCAAACACAAAAAAGAAAACATATAGATCTTGATGAAAATAGAGAAGAGAATAAAGAAGGTCCAAAACTTAAATATCAAGATAGTAATTCAGACAAAGTGCAGAAGCAATATTGAATGAATCAGAGAAAGAAATCCTCGAAAGTTTTGATAATAAAAAGATAGAAGATGAAATAATTCTACTTTAGACAGAATGTGGATCACACGATCAAGAAATAAAAGAATACAAAAATCTTGTATTGTTAAGATATAGTAAAAAGACAGTTTAGTTCCTCTTAAAAAAGAAAAGAAAAAAGAAGATAATATCACTTATAAAGATATACATGGGTCCAGGTGGACTTCTAAAGATATCAACAATTTAATCTGAGCTCCAAGAAATAGATCAAAGGAGGACCTACAGAAAAAAAAATTCAAAACCTAAAAGCAAATTAACTTTATAGAACTTACCAAAAGATACTTGGTCTAACAGAGTAAAGTGATGTCTTAGTTTCTATAGCAAAGCAAAAATCTTAGAATAGAAAAAGGATTAACAAGAAGTTAAGAAGTCTAAAGCAGCCTATATTAAGATTAATTTTTAGACAATTTTAAATTTTTAAACTTATTTTCAGACATCCTAAAATTCCAAATCATTTCTTAAATTATCTTAAATTAATTAAAGAACTTATATAAATTAATTTATTAATTTATATATTTATTATTATATATAATCAATCTCAAAAAATATTTTTTTATAAATGTACTTTTTTTATAGTATATATCATTTAAATAGTCAAATACAAAATATGTATCTCTATATAGATCACTCTATAAATGCATATTCTACAACTGCAACAATATGCACTTATAGAGGATCAACTAAATTACAAATTCACAAGATCCATATTATATATATGTGTTCAAATAAATATATATTACTATTGAATATTAAAATTTCTTTCACAAACGAATATAGCCAAGTTTTATTACCAAAATATAGTATTAAATATAAAGACTATAAATATATAAATTTAGTTTTAAATAAAATTAATTTAAATATTAAATGTATAACTTAAAAAAAAGCATAAATGTACATATCTATAATAAAAAAATCAATAATTTAATCTGTTTAAAATTTTTTAAATTATAAAACACAAATTCTTTCTATATAATAAAGCAGCAACTTAAAAATATTTTATTTTTCAATTATATTATAGATTTCTAATACTAACTTATTACAATAAAAAATTTTTCATTTATCAAAGAATTAACTAATTACATTATATTGCAATTAAATATTTGATAAAGATGAAAATGAAAAAGAAAAAAGAGTACTTAATTTCCATTTCGCTTCAGGATTATTAGCTGGGTGTAAAGTTGTAGTATCATAAAAATTATCTATTTCTTCCTCTTGATACGTTTCATCAAATGCTTCATTATCTAATTGCATAAACTATTCATCAATAGCTTGTGTATAATCTAATTCATTTACAATTTCTTCAGAATCTACTTCTTCATCAGAACTATTTTCCTCAATCTAAATAACCTCATTACTATTTATATTTAAGTTATTGCTTTATTTATATACTTGATTTTGTTTTTGCATATATTTTTTTCGTTAATTAGCTTGAAATTGTGCTATTTTTATTACTTTTTTTACACTGAGTTGATTTCGAAATTTTGAGTAAATAAAACCCATATCACTAAACAATTATTCAATACTTGTAAAATTAATTACAATAGAAAATATTTGTTTACTAATAAATGCAAGTTCAGATACTTCTTCATCAACATATTTCCAAAATTGATACAGCTTATTCTTAAATTGTCTGGTTTGACTATCATCAAATAAAAATATTTTGTTTCGATAATTTGTCATTTCACTAGCAAGTTCTTTTGGTTCATTTCCTGTCCACATTTCATAATACTTCTGAGCATATTTACATAATTTTACAAAGAAAAAATTAGTTGCTTTCAAATTCAACTTGTCAAACCAAAGATCAGAGTTCAAAAAATATACTAAAATAAGAAGAGGTTGTTCCCAATCTTTCAAACATTTTTTAGTCATTAATGATTTGAGATCTTGAAGTTTCTGATCATCATTTTTATTAATTGTAAACATTTGACTAAAATGTCCAAAGCAAATAAGAATATGATAAAGGTGGGCATTATTTTTTTCAAGCAGTACAATAGCTTCTACAAAGAGCTTCATAATTGTTTTTAATATACGAAGATAATTAAAGAACTTGCAATCATCTAAAATATTCATAATGTTTTAAGGTAAGAGTAAAGCTTTCTTATTATGAATTTGAACATTAGCACTATGGGTTACTGAAAGGCTTTATTAAAATAAATAATAAGAATTATAAGCATATTATTTCTCAAGCATTAATTTATTTTAAATATTAATTTGGTTAAACTATTAACTTTAACAAATACAAATATAAATAAAATAAATAAATAAATACCTGTAAAGTACATTCTGCCTTTAAAATAGCTCTAATGCAACTAAAAATATGAATATCAACAGGTTTTACAAGAACTGGTTAATGCTAAAAAAGAAATACCAAGATCTTTACATGTATTTTTGAAAAGCATTATAAAAAAAAGTGATTTATTAAAAAAAGAAGTAATGGCTACAGCTTGTTTGACTACAGAAAAAATAGTTAAAGATGATTTAAAAAAATCAGCAATACAAAGGTTAGCCTGGTGGGCAAAACAAGGCAACCAAATTTTTATCAGCATTTCTCTTCTTAATCTATGATGTGCAGCAGCATATCCACTTGATGAATCTGTAACTATTGCAGCTATGTTAATTTTTTTTAGCCTATTCTTTAATAATAAATTTTTTATTAACTTTATTGTGGCCTCCATTGAGCTACATTCATTAGAAATATTTCATACATCATATATTATCATATCTCTATTCTCTATTACACAGGTAATTCCAAGGATATTTTCCTTTACAATATTCTTCCAGCCGTCAAATGTTAATGTAATAGATTTAGCATCTTTCAAATTTTTTAATGTTTTGTCTTGAAGTTCATTTGCAGCATGATTGAGAAGTTTGCCATCTAATATTTGACAGGATGATATAGCACTAGGCTTAAGTTGAAGTGCAGAGTTAAGATGATACAAAAGATCTAGTGCTTCATTACACTTTATCCATCTGAATGACATCTATTAGCAATAGTTATTAAAAGAAGTTTCTTTTGAAACTCTTTAATCTAATTATCCATTGGGGGCTTTAAAAAATATTTAGAAATTTCAATATCATGTCGTTCTTCGGCAGTTAATCTTGCCCATTCTGCATCCAAAATCGCTGTTGTGATCTAATTTACAAAACTTCTGATAGGCTTATCTATTATTAACCCTTTTTACCTTGGTACAACATGTATTAGCTTAGTCCATAGTAGCCGAACTTCAATGATCTTGTTTGATCTTGCACCTTCTTTTGCTAACTTGTCTGCCTCTTCATTCCCTTCTTTTTCACTGTGTCCTTTCACCTTGTGCAGTTCAACCTTTAATCGTTTTCTTTTTCTTATATGTTCTATTTGTCCCAAAATACTTCTATTTTTCATTTTAAAGTAACTGCGTATTTTCTTTATTTCCACCATTTTTTGAATTGCTTGAATTGCTACTTGACTGTCTGTATATATCTTTATAGATGCTCCTTCTGGCAAGACTAACAGCACAGTCAAGATTGCACCTAGCTCT